CTTCTCGGTGGCGGCGGCGGCGGCATCGGTGAGCTCCACGAAGCGACAGACATCTGGCCCGTGCTCGCTGGGCTTTCTGCTGCTGCCTGTTCGACAGTCGTCTGCCTCCTGCCCGTTTGCTGCGCTGACTGAGTGACTGCTCGCTCGCTCGCCCGGCTCAATCGTCAGTCAGAAACAGCAACGCCAACACTATCGCCCTCATCACAAACAAAGGGCTTTCGCGGAGAGCCGGACTTGTATAGCTCGACAAACCATAATCTGAGCCGGTCTCACAACGCGGACTTCTGTCAGCGTCATCTTTTACAACGTCCGACAAGACTCGCTATGGTTTCTCGTGAACCGTGAGCCATTTGCTCAATTCAGAAACTGCTTTCCCGAAGCACGTTCCGCGACAGGTAACGCGACGGAACCAAGGGTTAAGTGTAGGATGTGACCTGAGGGCGGTAGAAATCGCCTACCGCTCGCGAGTCCTGGAACTCTTCATGTCGGAGCAGCGAGGGAGAGATGGCAACAGTCGTGACAAGTCGCTTGTCACCAGGATCGCTGGAGATTCCAATCGTGGCGCAAGTGATACCTATTACAGGGAGAATGACCGTTGCAACCGTTCGCTCGGAACTCCTTATGTAGAGCATGACATCATCGATGCGTCTACGGCAGCGCACCGTTGACGTCGCCGTCAGCACCAATCGCCAGCACCGTTGACAGCGATCGAATTGTCTTACCATATGATTGGCGACCTCGTGTCACAGCTCTGCATTCGGAACCATGTCAACTCGCGGTATGGGATGCTGCTCCGTTTTTGTTGATGACGAGTTCCGAGAGACCTAATTGTGACGGCTGTCATTGAACACATTAGTGGATCATCGCGCGTTTCGGTATCCGACGGACGTCTCTTCCCGTCAAGCAAGAGGCCGATGGCCAGCGATATTGATTCGATAGTCTGCTGAGCCGAATCGTTTGAGAGTGCGATGTAGGGCCCGCCAATATGACCAAAACATCCTCATCACCATCATCATCATCATCATGACCATCGTCGAGCTCTTCGACATTTCCCTCTTGAACCTGGAAAGCGAATTATTATCGCGAATCGCGGAGATATCGCATCATCATCAGGAGGATGATCCAGATGAGAACTTTCGAGTTTGATCTCTTTGTCGAGCCATACGAGTACCCGTGATCATTGTAGGCCGAATCGGGCTGCGCGTGCTCTCATTCGGCCACCCTTAAGATGAGCTTCCGTTCTCAAATAATCACGGGAAGTGATAAGTGCAGCATCCGGAAAGAGATGGTTTCTCACAGAGGAGCGCATGAATTCCAGAATGAACGCGCTCCAACAAAATATTTACTTTCTCTCGACTCGAGCGTATATCTGCGGGCTGCCGGCCCTGAACCCCGTTCAATGAATCTCCTCGTCTCGGAGGTGCCATCACGGAGAGAGAGAGACAGTGAGAGAGAGGAGTGCATTCCGGAGATCCGGACTCCTCAATCGCGGCTAGGCGGGTGATTTTTTCCCTTCAAGACTCGACGACGACCGAGCTGTTCGCGCTCATGTGAATGTGAAATAATATAAAGCTTTCGTTGTTCTTTGTCTTAGACACGAGAAGAGTCAAGTTAGTCGTTTCCGTCGTCGTCATCGTCGCCGACGGCACCGGAATACAACAATGAAATCACACTATGATGATTTTCGGAAGCTTCGTGCTATGACATGAATGGGGTGCGTGGACCAGATGCGATGTTTCCGTCTCGATCATCAGCTAGCAAACAGCGAGTAATAGACAGGCGTTCGGTCGGCGTTCTGTCACCGCGTCGATTGGGCGCTTCCGGATTTCACATTTTTCATGACGAATTGTTGATTGTTTTCTTATTGAGAATTAAGTTCTCCAAGTAATAGCATATAAAATCAGCTGCACAATGACTGGGCTTCCTCCCGGAACGCGATGCTGGCGGTTGTAAAGGTAATGACATCTTTTCATGTCGGGCGGCAGCAGGCTGCCATTTTCACACTACCTGGAAGTACCGGTTGGAAACAAAGTACCGGGTCTTTTCCAGAGGCCAGACGGGGTACAGCGTAAGACAGAGCGCCACTCGTTTCGTGCACGAAACCGCCCGAGCTTTTCGTACCTGGAGTGTCAGAGAAAGCTCGGAGGTACTCGACGGAGGAGGAATTCTCTTCGTCCTAGGGACAACTGCCGCATCGCACTCCCAGGGAATGGGCTGTGGTCTGTAGTACATGCATATGTTTCAAAATAACGGCCTGCACGCCCGTACTGATTTCCTGGCAATCATCCAATTCTCTGATGGATCGATCTTTCTTCTGAGTATTCCATCCGAAGGCCATCCGAAACGACGGGATGATCATCGCCATTACAAACCGCAGATTCGAGCAAACTTGAGCGTACAGACAGATACACTACGAATTTGAATAAAGGACTCGCGAGCGGAGCTTTCCGATGTGTCTGCTCGTCAGACGTATCATTGGTTTCCACGATCGTTCCGCAACTGCCCGTTCTGTATCTCAAGACTCTCTCACAGAACGAACAGAATTCATCCCACGGCTTCTTGCCCTCGGAGAGCACGATGCTGGTCGAAACGGGAATTTCCTTTCGACGTATCTCACCGATGGAACTCTTATCTTTATGTCATCCGATCATCGTTGAGGTCTTGCGAAGAGTTACACGCGCGACCCGTGAGACAGCACCGTTACAGGCAGTTGCCGATCGATGAAATGGGAAATGAGGTGCCGTTGACCCGTGTTTTTGCACCGGTCTCGACCGCGATGAGTGACGCAGGAAGATTTAGCTTGACTGATGTTTGGGAACTTCTCGTTGGGGCAGAATAGTGACCGATGACACATCGGGAGGGGCAACCGCAGAGAAGGTAGTCCAAATTTGTCGTAATTCCTCTCCCGTTCCCCCGTCGCAATTGCTAAGCTGGGGTTTGAATCGAGTTCCGATTGTGAGAGAAGCGAAGTAGATATCCTATATATGCGGAGGTCTACCGGTCTACCTTCACCTCTGTTGCCATGGCGTCTCCATAAATGAAGGATGGGCGTCATATCCATCGATAGACCATAAAACTCCCTCTCTACGTCTACAACAAGGAGCGTGCTATTCGTATTGGAGTAGCGGTTATGATTCCCGCAAGGTCACGCATTAATTACATTGAATTATTCATCGGAGTGATCAAACTCACTCCGAGTCCGGACCGTTCGATGTCGTGACCTGACATCATGCTCCTCCAAGGTCGTTGTCAAGGACGTTCAGTGCGGCGACCGTACCTCAGGCTCACGAGAGATTACGTGTCGCCGCCTTATTACTGAATCGAACGGTGTCAGCAAACGATCCGGTAGAACTGACGATCATCTGATTGATCCACATGGTGGCTCCCCTCCGAAGGAGTAGCACTCCGGAGAGAGGGGTTCGAGAAGTAGCAGGTGACCATCTGGAACAGTCACTGACCGCAGACGATGGATCGAGGAGTCTTCCTGACCGCTATTCATCCATCCATTGTCTAATAAGTTACAAAAGCTCGTTCCTAACTCACACTGGCGACGCGAATCCAAATAAACTCCGCAAGAGTCGCGCTCCGTTTGGTGATAAGATCCGGGGAAGTGGCTGACCGACCGAACGAACGAACACACAAGTGTTCAAAGTTGGCAAGAAAGTGTTTCAATCTCAGAACGGCGCGGCATCGTCGCCGTCGTCCCCAATTTTCTACTCTGCTTGCCGGGTCTGTGTGCGACTAGTCACTCGTTCCGAACTTCAGCCGGGCGTAACATCCAGGTTACAGCAGCCACCGCAGAAAACCAGCCAGACAGCAGCGACTGGCGACCGAACGGGCGAGCCATCGACGTGGGCTCCCGAGGAAGTGAGCATTGTTAAGAACGTGTGCGCTCTTTTTTTCCGTAGAAGAAACAATTGAGTTTAGCGCTTTTTTTACACCTCGATTTAGCCTGACATCGCCCTCGGCCTTCGCTGCCACCGGTCGCCGTGGCTGTCAGCTCGGAAGTGACGAGAACGTCTGGCCTGACGGTGACAAAACATCATAGAATAATCCGCGGCTCGTCTATCCGCATGATGCCGTTCTGAAGGACTTTCACATCAGAATATTCATGATGAAACCAAATAGGCAAGAATCATATGTAGCATCGGATTAAAATATCCCGGGGAAAAATATCAAGCGAGCCCGATGAACCCCTGTTGTTACACTGAGCTCGTTGTACCGGCTCGCAGAACCTGTCTTTCGAGTAGAAGTCGCTCGATCACTGGCCCTTCAGCTACGGTGATTCTCCCCTAGTGTCTCATACATAGTGATATTCCGCTCATTATTCTCGAATCATCCAACGGCTCGCATGCCCTTCTGGACTCCGCGCTTCGAACGCGCAGCACCACCCGAGGGAAGAGACCGTTAGGACGGTTGGCGACCGTTGCATCGGCGAACGTTGGCATGGAAAACGAATGCCTTCAGTTTTTTTTTGTTTGTCTCCAAAACATTCCCTCGTTGATGATAGCGCTGCCTGTCTCGTGGTGCTCCTGATATCGATCCCTCACCCGGGCGGGTCCCTCAAAGATCCAACAAGGGCTCGAAATCGACGAAGATAGCTGAATGCTAGAAGAAGATTAAGATTGCGAAGTTTTCCTTGAAGACTCTGATCCTGATGCAGCTGCCGATCAAGCTTTACACGATCTCTTGCTGGCTCATTTGGCTTGCGTCGACGTTTTGCGAAACCTCTAATCAGTAGAACGAGCTTAGTATCGGCGGGATGTCCTATATTCCTGTATGATATAATTAGCGTGCATATGCTCTACCAGAAGGACCGGGAGGGCTTGCGGTCTATGACCCGCTAAGTCCTACCGAAATCCTCAGAAACATCCCTGAGTACTTTCGGAAGAGAAGTGATCAGAGACAGGGTCGTGTTATAGGGCTCCCCACGGGGTCGAATATTTTCCTTGGGAACGGACCCTAGCGGAATCGATTTCATTCTGATTGTCCGATTGCAGGAACGACTGGATTTCGCGATGAAAGAGATAGTGTTCGACTTGATCTCTGTCGGAAGACCAATAAAAATCATCCTGACTCCTGAACGGATGGCCATCGGACTTCGAGCTTTCCTAGTCGTTGCAGACAGTCTACAACAGCGAGAAGGGTGAGTAACCGATCTCCACGGTGAGATGTGTAATTTTCAGCGTGGCATACGCTCTACAACGCGGCTCCGGGGAACCGGTTGCCGGGAATCGTACCTCGTGCTACTAGGAGTATTGGGTGAACCCGTTCAGGGATAGGTGAAGTTCCCTGCGGTTTCCGGGAGGAGCGGACAGCTCCGGGCATCGAACGCCCCTCCGCAAGGAAAGAGGCTGCCTAGGTTATTACCTCATTGAGTCGAGTGACTCGATAGACGTCGAGATGAGTGTCACGATCTGAATATTTGGAAACCGCAATATAACCGAAGTATTCCGCTTGGTGATCCGTTTCCAAACACCCGTCGATTCGTTTACTTCATTTCACGCTAAATGCAGCTCATCCCGCCCGACTTGTCCACCGACGACACGTCTCCAGCTGAGCTAGAACGCTAACTCGATTTCTCGATTCTGTTCTTCGATATCCGGCAGAACAGGAGAGGATACATGTACATAATGTATTGTACATGTCCTATTCAGTCTGTCATTCTTACACGCGCACGCTTAATTGTAAGCGGGAGATTTCGAGGACCATGGCGTTCCTCCACAAATTCTCTCGAGATTTCGCGGTGGTCCAAAGATTTTCGTTTGTCGAGACAAGACCTTGTACTCGTCGGTCGCCACTGACGCTACTGCTGATGTCGCCGTTGTTGCGTTGTTTGCCGTGACGTCTTCTGTCAAATTGGCCGATTTTTGACAAGGCAGGGGCCAGTCGCGGCAGCCCACGACCAGTCGACGCCCACAGATACACTGCTCATTCGAAGTGTTCCAGTCCGGATTGTACAGATGTTCCGCTCTTTCTGTCCAAGGGCTCGGGTGGGCAGGAACATAACGGTTTGGCCGCAGTCTCCGACCGGAAAGTTGAATCAATTCCAAGAGGGGGAGGATTAGTGAGTGGGTGAAATCAGATTTTGACGCAGCAAATAACTGGGTCGTTTATGATTCGCGCAGATTGCGGCGATGGGCAACCGTGGAGTGTCAAGCTACGAATCGACGGGTCCCGACTCTTTCTTCAACGGTTCAATTCGTTCTGCTCCAGCTCTGGCGTTTCCTCGGTCTTCGGTTCGATTCGAGCCTCGATTTCAAAGTTTCATTTTCGTTTGAGAGTCTCGCTCAACGGGTCAAGCCTGTGGTCGAAACGGACGAGATTCTCTTCCGTCCACTCATACGAACCGAGGAACAAGCCTTCGATTTCCGTACTGCTAAAAATCCACGAAGCGGTCGCCTGTCACGCAACCAGCCTATTCTCTTAATGACCCTCAGGGAAGATCGGCCAAAACTACTGCGAAAATATGTCGGTAGTCCCCTAATTTTCGGCAAAGGAACAGTCTCACATGGATCATCAGCTGCTAGCCTAACGCAGCAATCAGCGCGTCCGAGCGAAAAGGCAATGTCTCCACGAGGCTTCATTCTATCTATGCCCTCTTCCGCCCGAGTACTGACCACGCAGACGGATTGTACGTCTGGTTGCCCTATCATTTGAATTCATTCGATTATCAACGGTGCAATGCGACTCGGACTTGCATGAAATCAACCGGTTGGAAGAACTGAGGAGCGTCCGAGCGACGACTTCCCAGCATGCGGTAGGATGTTTCCACAGAAAAATCAGCATAAAATCTAATGAGTAAGACGCGCTTTCGGATTGGCACTTCCTGGGTGAGCAGCTCGGTCTGCTATCATGGTGTCGCCGTCTCTGCTGGAAGTTAACTGGGTCGGCTAAAGACGCAACTTATTCGCGCATTCCATTTGGGCGCTCCGAAAATTTCCAGAGCTGCCCGCGGGAGTGGCATCGTCGTAGTTTGCATATTGCGGCGCATATTCCGCGCTTCCTCGGAAGCCTGTAATTCAATCAAAACTCCGAGGGCTCGCGCCACTTAGAATCGGAATACGCGTCTCCTACGAGTCTCGGCTCGAGAGGGACCGAGTAGACGGATCTTGCGCGAGCCTAGATGATGACGTCGCGGAATTTCCAGGTGCCTCGCAGGCAGTTTTCCCGTTGCTGGCGTTGTTTGCGTTCTCCGCATCAGCGAGGGAGCGAGTGGTTCATCCGATCCCTGGACGGGAATCGGGACCGGCCACTCCGAAGAGAGCACCGAGGACGGCGAACGATAAAAATGAAGGCTTCCACGAGCCGCAAGGAGCGAGATTTTTCTGAGAGTGGACTCAGAGAAAATTCAGGGGGTCATCGAACGGCTGGCAGCAGGTTATCATTATAGCTGCAGCACGCGTCTTTGAGAAATAGCCATGGCTTAAAAACAAGGAGTCAGATGCTCAGCTCTCATCGTTGGACGGCGTTCGTTCGATGATCTTCGGTAAGAGCACTTACACTCGATATCGTTTGCCGGCTGCCGTCGATCATGACCGGAAAGCTATTAAATCCGAATGTGGATTTAATGATGGAATCTTGGAAGATCGATGCGATTCGATCGGTCCGTTACAAATGACCGAAAGTGTGAAGGAATCGCCTTCTTGGTCTCGCTTCCGTTCCCGAAAGATGGAGGGAGGAAATTCAATTCATGGTCGGTAGACCGCGCCAGGATACGCTTCAGGAAAGAGGCGGAAGGTTTCCTACGAAGCCCGTGGAGAAAGCATCGCGCCGCCGACAGATATCGACTCGGAAGCCGTGCGTGATTGACAGTACACACCGTTCGCCTCTAACGCGGTAAGGTTCGCGAGCCACTGTCTCACTCGCTCCACTGGACCCTTCGTGGCTAAGCCGTCGAGCGTCTTAGCATCGTAATCTGATCGACCGATGGTTCGGACTCGTGTTTCTGTTTTTTGTCTCCGATGGAGAATTAGGACATGTCGTGCCTGCTGGAGCGGCCAGCCACACTGAGCTGGTCTTCTTCAGATGCCACCGATCAGATACGTTCTGCCGTATCAGTAACGGAAAGATGGATGATTACCTGCGACCGACGTCCGATGTATCGTATTTGCTGACCACCATCTGGCTTGGAGACGCAATCGAACGTAACGTCGAGAGGCTGTAGAGTTCACGAACATGAAACGAAATCGTGTATCTGAGCGATTTCGAAAACCATCCTAGAGAACGACCGCAAGAACGATTGTTATAATAATAATAACAAGCCATTATTGTCAGTGCCGAGGAAAGCGGTGACGGCAAACTCAGTCATGGAATCATCTTGGAGATCCCTCGCGCGAACAGCGACGGGATCTCGACGTCAGCTCATGCGAACGATCGTGGTACGGCACCAAACTCCTACTCGCTCTCTGCCTCGGGCCGATGAGAGTCATTGTTGGCTGTCGATGCTTCACAGATGTTTTTTTTTTCAATCCGCTTTATCGGATATCGCAGTCGGGGATTTTGAACGCGTTTTTTTTCCGTGCGAGGAAATTCGGATTGGTATGATACTTTCGGCACAAGACGAGCTTGACATCATCGCTATGACTTTAAACAGGATTTGTGTGGACTTCTATCAAATTCAGATGTCACGTCAATCACGCTTTGAATGTTTGCTAAACCATGGTCACCGAACGTGGGCAGAAAAAAAACAGTGTATTGTGATGGGCAGCATAAACGCACTCGCTCCTTGCGTACTGCGATGCTCGCTTTTGCTTAGAAGGTTCTCCGATGTCTCAGCGAGTACAGCTCAGGCCTGAGGTGGAGTCCAATAGCCATTACATGAGTTCGCTCTTTTAGTGGTAGAGATCGTGAATCGAAGAATTGTCGGCCGCACATCAGCCCTGCCCGGTTGCAGTTCGATGACTCTATCATAATCTGGCAGAATGGCCTGATGATATTCTACCGGTGCTCTTGCCCATCACGTACTCGATTTCATAGGCAATTACGCGGTCATTCGGGTTCACCTGGTATTCTGTCGGCTTCGGTCGGCCGGAGCTCTTCGCTAAACGTTCCCGTTCCTCGCTCGTATCGAACCTCGATTCATTTGTTCTGAGGTGCGGTCTTCCGAGTGATTTCTCCGGAATACGAAGCTTCGCGCTGAGCTTGCCTGAGACGCGGCGTACTCGATGACTCGAGTCGGCGGCTTCAAATCATCCCGACACCGTCAAGGGCTTGTCCAGAATCCTCTCATGATATCCCTCGTTCGGTGTCAATCATTTCTGGGATCATCCTTCGCGGTATGCGGTCTAGAATAATTTTGAAAATATTACTCTGAGGAGGCGAGAAGCTACGCTGGCGTTTCAAGGTGTTCTCGAAATAGCACCGAAGGTACAGGTTGTCGTCCTCAGCCGAGAAGTATGCTGCTCGTCTGAGCTGATGAAGTCTGATTACCTCGCTTCAGCTCAGACATTTTCCTCTTGTTGATGGCGGAAATAGTACCCATCAGATCCCAAGTCGATGGAGACGACGGACTATGGACGTGTTCGAATCGAGATCAGAAGATCGCTCAAAGCAGCGGGAATCTCTTGAGGAGGCTGCTTAGGCCAGACACACTGCTCGGATTTGAAAATACCGAGGCGAATAATTCCAGATTGCTGAACGAGCTCGCTCGAGACGGAGATGTTCTGAGCGCGGAAATAAAACTAGGTCAGACAAACTCCGATTTTAGAGTCGCGCAAATAATGGAAGGCTCTCAGAGATCCGCACGCGAAGCTCCTCGTTTCGGCTGAGATGCACGGGCATCATCAAAACAAGCTGATGATAGACTCTATAGTCATAATACTTAGTACGGCCATCAGACGTCTCGATGAATAAAGAGATATATCTATTTCTGAGCTGAAGATTAACTATTCTCCCCTAAATCGAGGATATCGTGATCCCGAGGATGAGACGGTGCGAAGATGCTCCCGGACTCTCTCTCCCCCGAACCTCGAGAAGAATGAGAGGGCTCGACGTACTTCTCGCAGACGAAACTCGCTCCGGTCGTCGATCCATGGAAGAACCTACCTGGGAGCTCGGAGCATCCATTGAATTCACTGTCGCGTGACGGATTCTATCTATCTGCGACCGATTCATCGCGATTGACGCTCAAGCCACGTCCGGGAC